AATGGCCAATTGTCCTTAAAGGGATGGTCAAAGGAAAATTGAGTTAAACAATGAAAGGAATTTAAAGGCAGAAAACTGCAAGATGAGATAATGTTCTAGTTTAGAGCCATAGTTACCTACTGATAAAGGAAAATTACAGTGAGACATCACTATCTGACTTGCATTAGATATGAATTGTCCTAGCTAGGAGATTTGGGAAATAAGAGTATGAATGTAGAGGGAATTTTTAAATGGAGTATTATGGTTATGTTTTGATTTTTTTATGTTGAAGCAATCTTTAGGTGATAAATGTGTTTCTAAAGATTTGAAACGTATGACAAAGGCTAGATGTGAAAAATGTTTTATACTTTGAGATGTACATGCCATATGTGTTAAAGAAGTTTTACATTTTAAAAACAGGTATGTGAATCGCAAACAGCAATCATGCTCTCCAGAGCTGCTTGTGAATACATTACCACCCAGATGCTCATCTGCCCCATCCTGTAGGATATTGGTGGGACAAGAAAGGAGGGATTTTCTTGTTTTGATTTGATTTTTTGATTTATAGCTACCTGCTTGCGCAACCAAACTCCCTGCCAGGACTATGTCTTAGAAACAGATGAACCATACCTGACTGAGAGGGAATTATGTCATCTGGAGAGAGAAAGTTTACTGACTGTTTTGGGAAACCCAAACTCTAAGAAACAGTAGAGCCCATCCCTGCGGACCATGAACCTGTAAGCATTCAGGACTTCCTACGCTTCACTTCTACGCACAACAGGAAGGACATCGTGACTGAAGTTGTCCTTTGTCAAGGGAGTGCCTTTTACTTCCCCACCACCTGAGCAAGCTCTCTCTATTTCACACTCTGATACATGCTGATGTACGAGAGGGCTTCAACAAGTTAACAGAAAAAGAAATTTAAAGATAATGTAATTTATATATAATGTGTAGGTTGGCAGAACATATGTACTCATTGCCTACAAATGGGCAGTCTTCCTTGGGAAACAATAACTATTATTTCTTACAAAAGTCCACATGATAAAGAAATAAAAGCAGGTCTAGGCCATCTGTCCTAGTCTCTGACCCCAGAGAATAACTATCTGTTTTAGTCAGAGGTCTCTAGGGAAAGACAACCTTTAAGATGATATTCAAGGGGACTTCAAAAAGTTCATGGGAAAAATAGCATTAGTTCTTCATTCCTTTGCTCATGAACTTTCCAAAGCCCCTCTGTGTTTCAGCATCTACCAAAGAGCGGCTTAGAGATTATTTATTTCCATATTTTAGGAATTGGCTTAAGTGATTATGTGGCTGACAAATTCAAAATCTACTGGTTAGGAGATAGGCTAGAAATTCTGACAATCTTGGGACCCAATATTGTTCAGTCAGGTGATGAGGGAGTAAGCGGGATTCTGGCAAGATCTTTCTGTATAATCTCAAAGAAGAATACTTCCTTGGACACCCTCCTATTCTGCTCCAAACTTATTGGATAAGCTTCTCCACATGATAGAGGGTAATCTGTTTTACTTGAAACCAACTGATGTAGTCGCGTGGAAATACTTAATAACAACTAGTGCTTGACCAAATCACTGAGTACCATTTCCCAGCCAAGTTGACACATGACAGTATCTATTCCACTTCCCTCAGATCAAACAGAGACACAAGGAAGAAACAGACCAGACCTCCTCAGGCCAGGTAGCGTCTTCCTGTGAGTACCCGCCAGAGGGCACCCTGCACATCAGGGTTCCTGAGGCTGTAGATAATGGGGTTCAACATGGGGTTGATGACAGTGTTAAAAATTCCAACAGCTTTATCCTTATCTGAAAGTTTGCCTGAACCTAGACGCATGTAGTTAAAGACACCTGAGCCATAGAATACAGCAACCGTGGTGAGGTGGGAGCCACATGTGGAGAAGGCTTTCTTCCTCCCCTCCACTGAACGAATTCGTAGAACCGCAGCTGCCACGTGGGCATAGGAGGTGACAATGAGAGCCATGGGGGTACCTGCCATAAAAAAGCCCACAGCAAAGAGCAGCAGCTCATTTATTTGGATGCTGGAGCAGGAGAGCTGGAAGAGCTGTGGGAGGTCGCAGTAGAAGTGATTGATCACATTGGGGCCACAGAAGTGGAGTGTGGATATGGCCACAGTATGGGTCAGGGCATTGCTGAAGGCACAAACCCAGGACATGGCTACTAATATCCTTTGGACTACCTGGCTCATCCGGGTACTGTAGGTAAGAGGCCGGCAGATGGCCAGGAAACGGTCATAGGCCATGGCTGTCAACAAGAAGCAGTCCACCCCAACTAGGAGGTGGAAGAAGAAGATCTGTGTAAGGCAGGCTCCATAGGGAATTGCACGCTTGTGGGACAAGAGGCGACTCAACATGGAGGGAATCGTGACGGTGATGCACCCAACATCCAGTGCTGAAAGGTTCCCCAAGAAGAAGTACATGGGGGTGTGGAGCTTGGGTTCCAGCAAGACGGCTGCCAGGAGGCTGAGGTTGCCCCCCACGGTGACCAAGTAGGCAAAGAAGAAGAGCACAAAGACCAGTGGTCTCAGACTGGGTGTTTCCACCAAGCCCAGCAGGATGAACTCAGTAACAGCGGTTCCATTGGCTCCAAGCTTGGGCTGCATGAGTCCCTGCAAGAAAAGATCCATGAAGGTCAACAGTGAGTCTTCTTCATTAGTTTACTTATGCAGCCAAGAGAGATCTATTTTCTCTTACGTGTCAAGCTCCCATGAGCCAAGATACATTTCCCCCATGTGCCGACTTCCCACTTGTTAGGAATCTAATGTGTCTCCCCCAAAGATATATTGAAGTCCTCACCCTTGTACCTGTGAATGGGACTCTGCTTCAAGTGTTCCCTCAGTGGATCTGGTGCATGTGTGATTGAGTTATTCTTCATGCAAATGGATTTCACTTGAAAGGAAAAAGAGCAGTTTGACAATATCCTACAGAATTACAAATGTGGTTTTCTATTGGCCTGGCGATCCCACTTCAGGGAATGTAGCTGATGGATACATATGGTCACTTACGAGAAATTATGTATGTGTGAGGTCATTTATTACAGCATTATCTGTGGTAGCAAAGGACTATAACCTGTTATCCATCATTAGAAGGCTGACTACATGAGTTATGATACATCCTTAGAAAGGAATACTTGGCAGCTATACATTTGAACAAACTGTTCTTTCGATGCTGATTTGAATGACCTCAAAACTAAATAATTAGTTATGAATGACACCTTCTAGAAGTATAGCACACAGCAGTTGTCATTACACTGGGAGAAAAGAATACACACAAACTAACCCTAAGTACAAAAATATAGATAGATCATTTTCTTTTTCAATAAATATCCAGAAGGATATTTCTTGGAAAGATTGGTTCTTTCATGGGCGAATGTTGGCATGGGTTGTTGACAGAAAGAAAGAGGATGAATAACTCACGGCTCAAGAAAAAGAAATAAATATTAAATAAACTTTTTAAAAGAATCCAATAGACTAGCATGTGAACATGTGTACCTCAGAGATGCTGCAGAAAAACAATTAGGAACTAGAAAGGGCTATGACCCTGGTCCCATGGTGAAGATGGTGCAGGACCCAGGGAGCGTTCCCTTTGCTGTTGTGCTGGTTGACCTCACACATGAGCCAGCTCAATGACAACCAACAACAATAGCAGCATCACAGAGAAGCAGAGGAAGACAATGTCATGTTAAGAGAATACTTCCTATGAGTCTATATTATTTAACCTCAATATTTCAATAAATTCAGAAACTCTAGACTCATTGTCCTCAAGTAGGTTCCAACTCATAGTGACCCTGTAAGAAACAGGCACAATTATAGGAAAATGAAAATTAACAAGGTAGATTCAAAAGTGATCTCAAAGCTGAAATAAACCAAAACCATGGGGGTCAATGAGTAAAAAAGATGCTTGACAGAGAAATCATGACTGTAGAGGCACACTGTACGCTTGTAAAATTGTTGAAAGGAGTTTTGCATAAACTTCAATGAGCAGATTGTTTTGTGCCATATAAACATTCCTGTTACACAGAAAATATACATACATATACAAGTCCCAGGACTTGTTATAAACTTAAAATGGACAATGGACAAAACATAGGAAAAATATTGTCTAAAAGGTATTTTAGAATGATCAAGATCTGTTCTTGATTTAAAAGAAAATAAATTATCCCAACCAACAAAACAAGAGAAGGTACTTCAGTATCTTTTATAGTACATTTCCCCCCCCAAAAAAACAATGAAATCTACAAATGAGGTTCACAACATTTCAACTATCTTAGGATCATTAGTAAAATTAATGAGTCAAGAAATAGAAAATTAAGCTTATGTTTCAGGAAGGAGGATTAAAAAAAAATACAATCATCTATTAGAAAAAACAAGCTGGAAAATCATACTGAAAGCTAAAGTTGTAAGACAAAGAGTAAATATTCAAACATTGAATTTTTTTCTTATGTAGCATCGGCATATACTGATAGAAAACGCAATGAAAAATATATCCCAAACACAAAATTTTAAATGAACTTGTTACGATATGTCACAAGTAACTCAGGGTATGAAGCTATGTATATATAATTTTATTTCTAGACTAATGCATTTGTGTGCATGTATAAATGGAAAGAGATAGAGGGAGGTAGAGAGGAATAGACAGGATCAGAGGAGATGGGTGATACCAGAAAGAAATAGCAAATCTTATCAATGGCCTGGATAGGTCTGATTGGTTTTAATTTCCCCCTTTCTACTCCTCCAAACTTTCCAAGTTGTCTACAATGAAGACAGATTGCATTTTATAATAGTTTTTGAAGCAGCACCTCTGGGACTCGCTCTTGACATGCCAAGTAGACTCCATACCACAATAACTAACTACTAACTCACTGCCCTCAAGTGGACCCCAACGCAAAGCGACCCTGTAAGATAGAAAAGAACTGCTCCCCAAGGTTTCTGATGCTGTAAATCTCTGTGGGGCCCAGAGGCCTCGCTTTTCTCCTTCATAGTGAATGGTGGGTTCAAAGTGCCACTCTTGCAGTTAGCACCTCTAGGTGTAACCCACGACACCACCAAGGTTCCTATATTGCTGAAGTAATTGAGAGAGAGGGAGAGAGAGAGTAGGAAAAGAATCCCTTCTCCTCTGAGATCTGTTCAGATTATTCCAGGATTTTGGAGGTGAACAGCTTAGTCCTATGAGATGGGTATGACTTGAATCCATTTACTGATGAAGAAAACTGAGCCACATAAAGGAAGTGGCAAAAGCAAAGTTCTAACTCAGGTAATTTGGTTCAAGAACCTGTGATCTTAAGCACTGTACACACTGCTTCTCTAGGTAACTCAGAATCTCGGGGATCATAAGGTCAGATCCTTCTGCAATTCTCTGTGAAGTCATTTATGACTCAAAGACATTGTGGCTGTGCCCATAGCGTTCCCAAAGCCCCTTGCCTTTCAGTTCCAGTGGCTCAAGTCCAAATGAGTCCTTGTAGCTCTTGGCTACAAGGAGTAGCAGTCGTCTGACTTCCTTTTTAAATATCTTTTAAAGTATGTGATCAGGAACCCTGGCGGTATAGTGGTTACATGTTTAGTCCTATATGACTTGGTGGCAGTGGGTTTGTTTTGAGTTTGAACCTGTGTGATCACCTTACAAACGCTGCCATTCTTATCTCCCTATGTTGTGTATGCTCTTTTCTCTATGTGGAATGCCCTTCAGTCAATATGGCACAGTCAACGCCTTCAAGACTCAGATAGAACACTACCCTTCTTCTCTAATCCTTGCCTGCCTTGGCTCTTCAAGATCCCTACCACACTGTATTTGTTCCCTATAAAGCACTATAATGTACCTTTAAGCACACTCATCTTGAAATTTAGCTATGTTCCTCCATGCCTACTTCAGGGCAAGATTCATATCTCATTTATCTTTAGGGGCTTTATTGATGCATAAATGAACTTATTTTTGTATAATGTAACAAATAAATTAATGCATTGATTAACACATAGGACTATGGAGAGAAAGGGTGTCAGTGTGGGCAATAGCAGCAAGGTAAGGGTTTTGAGACAAGTCACAATTTGTGCGAGATCTTGAAAACTTGATATGATTTGTAGGATGTGAAGGGTCAAGTGAAATGATTACTGTAGAAATGACTTTTCCTTTATCTAAAATGGTCACGCAGCTGTTACAACATCCCACACATGATCATACAACATTTTTATAAACGCCCCCAAGTATATTTTCTACAATCAGAAAAAAAAAATGCCTTGAAAACAGTAAGTCAGGAGCCAAAATAGCATATTTCAATAATAGCTATTGGTTAACCTTCAATCCACAAGTAAAGATGCTCCCATAAGTTCTCCTAAATTGTGGGCTGTTTACTGAATGATAGTCCATCCAGAACAACTGTGGAAAATGGAATTATAAGACTAATCATTGCTAAGAGCCCCCTTCTAGATATATGAGTCCCCCACATTCTCCAAATTCACTAAGACCACCCCTTTCTCTGAAACTCCATTTGGTCTTAGCGATTTGATCTCCAATTGGTCTTAGGCTGTCCTGTAAGGATTGGATTCTGGACCAGGATACTGAACACTAAATCTCTTCCCAAGTACCCTTACTAGAATCAGAGAACAAAGTTTATCTAAGAAAGAGGGACATGGTAAAGTGTCTGCCAGAGTAGCCC